TTTGTGAAGATCACAGTAGACTGCCATAGGAGGTTGATGACGAGGCAAAGTGTGACAGACAAAAGATGACATAACATGGATACAAACTTGAGTGGTGTGGAGACACACATGGTGGAAGATGGTGAAAAATGCACCAAAGGAGGTGGGGGAATCCATAAATAAAGAAAGGTAAATAAATGCTTGCACTATATAAATAAACCACTAATATACATTCATTTTGACACATGGTTTGATGACTCCTCATTCTCATACAATGAGGATGCCTTTGATCCCACTAAAACTACGGGAGGCATAAGCAAGGAAATCCCGAGACCTTTCTTTCACCATCTCATCGATTGTGGAGGGGAGACAGCCTAGGCAGTAGTCTGATGAGTGGCTCTTACCCCTTTTCACAATGAATGGACTGCTTCATGACTGTAGTTGGGGTTACTAGGGCCAGGAGATACACGATTCCCAAAGGGTTTATGTTTTTGCAGAAATTTCAATTTCCGAAAACCACCAACTTTTATACAAAAATTGTATATATTGAAAAATGTTAGGTGCAAAAGAAGCAACACATGAAAAAAGAAATTTAAAGCATAAAATGGTTTGATAAATCTCCTTTATATTTTGCTAAATGCAATAATGTTTAAAGTATATACAATATATATTAGTGTTCTTTTTAATTAAGTACACAGGGAAGTAGCTGTATCATCACATGGCATTTACACTTCTCATTATTGATGGACTTCCTCCTGCTATCTTTTTTTGTATAGGCTGCACATTTATTCAGTTATTTCTATTGCCTTGTGATGGAACATTTCTAACATTATCTTGTCCATTTTCCCCACTATTGTCTCTACAAGGGCATGTTCTTACTAGTTTTATTTTGTAGCAAAATAATTAGATATTTCTATTCAAGTTGTCTTCAGGCTTGTGAAAATAATTCACAAAAACAAATCAAGAATGTTAACTCAAAGCCTTCATATCCAAACTCCATCCAGTTGGAAATATTAATTTCACAAAAATTCTCTACTCTGCCCTTAATTTTCTATCCAAGATCACAAAGTTTCATTTAACTGTATTCTTTCATTTATATAGGATTTCTCTGGGTGGCACACCATTAAAGATTTTAGAATAATTTAAGTAGACCACATCCTCTGTAACACCTTGGTCTAAGTTTCTACTTATGTTTTTTATATACTCCAGAAAATTACTTTAAAGTGATTCTTGTAAAACTATGCTATCTCCCACAAAATTAATGTCTAAAATGTTATTCTTAATAACTTTTCCAGTCACTATTTTGGTTGAGTAAATGAAAATATAACTTCCATCATTGCTTAGAGAACCACATATTCTTTACAAATTGCTGAGAAATCTCCATAGTTAATTAAGTCAAATGCTAGCCAAAAATCTCAGATATTCTGTAACAATTGGTCTAACAAAGTCAACAAACACATGCTGAATGGTTTCAAATATTGGTTTCTTTTATTTTCATGTTTAAATAACAAAGGATCTTATTCGCAAAGATTCAAATTTAAAGTAACTTGTTTAGGTGACTATAATCGTAGACTTGGCAACTCACCTCTTATAGGAGACCTTGCACATGTTCTCACCTATTACTACATCCATTGGGCAGTAGAAGCTTATAAAAATAAGAAGTGGACCTATGTCAGGATCCTATCCTGCTAACAAAAATGTTGTTTCTTTTATTTCTGTTTCTTTCAAACATGTTCCAGTTTTCTCCACTAATGGCCTTCCTAGCCACTCGTCTGAACAAGCTTTCTCTCACCTGCTTATCAAATCATATCAAACTGCTATAAAAGGTCACACCCTTCTAGACAATTTGCCTTGACATTGATTGTAGTTATGTTATGAATCTGGCAAGACTACAGATCATGGCTCCTTCAACAAAAATTTGTTATATCCTGGAATTACTTAATTTAACCTGATTTATTCCTTCCAACCTACTACTTTCCAAACCTGCTTACTATCCATACGTTTGGAGAAAATCTACTTGGAGAAAACTTGCTTACTATCTATACACTTGGAGGTAACCTAATTTGCGAATACTACCTTTATTATATTACTGGACTTAAAATTAATATTGAATTATGACTGCATTTATGGAAAACTATTAAACCAAAGTGGAGATTACAAACACCCTTGATAATTACAATTATCATAAAGGACTCTAATTCATCTATACAACCTGCAAACCAAAAGAGGCATTTCAACTAAATGTCTTACTTACCTGTATTACTTTATCCTATTAATTCTATTTTAGTACTGTCTAATATATTTTGTTTTTCATGTAACCTATCATTCTCAGTTATAGGTTGTGACGGATCACTTGGCACCCCAACTGGGTACCTCCGCCAACAGATGCTTCTTTGCTGACGCTGAGGACCGTAAGCACTGCACCAGACACCACAAGCACTGCAGACTCCACAACTGCCATAGCTTAGCTGGGATCTTGTGGTCTTCCTCCCACCCTGGACCAATCTTTGATATCCAGGACCTTGTGGGAAAGACCTCTCCTACTCCAGAGAGCACGGCAAGAACAGCTCTTGTAAGAGCTAGTGATTAGAACCCAGGGGAGTATAAGGAGTATAGCAATCCCCAGTGTGAATATAGCAGTTCCCTCCAATCACGAGACCAAGCTACGTGTTGGGGGTTAAGCAGGAACTCCATTTTAATGGAGATACACTGGCCTTTTATGCAAGTTTCCCAACAAGGGTGACAGCCACATGGACCTTGTTGGGCACAGGGACACAAAGTTAACAAACCAATAAAAACAGAGTTATACAGTGAGACACTCCCATACAGTATACACAATCCCTCCCCTCTACCTGGGAGATAATTAAGGCAGATAATGCATTAACTTAATTATCTCCAGGCAGAAAAAACAGTACCCCAAAACACAACATATCCCCATAAATGTTACATCCCCTGATAGCCCTGATCTGGGTGACCAACATATCCAAAAATCACCCAGATCAAGGGTTCAGAAATTTTATGGAAGTCATAGTTTTGCCCAGTCACAGGCATAGTCCCATGCCCAAAACAGTTCCATAGAATCGCGGTGAAATGCTGCTGGAGGACCAACCGGGAACCGCGAGGTTTTCATGCCGAAAATAGTTCCAGGGCATTCGTGGCTAAGTCCCCGTGAAGTCTATGCACGGTTTTGTCCATGCCAACAAGATGGCCGCCACCACATGGTCGAATGGCACTTCAAATGGCTTCGGGATTTTGAAGTGCCGCTTCGAAAGTTCGAATAATTATTGTCCAAAGTCTTAATAAGTACAAATAGGGTTTTTTAACCATAATAAATTAAAGGGGCCATAGTCACAGGCTAAACGGCTGGCAAGTAGTCCCCTCCAAACCCCAGTGGGAAAGTGGCTTTCGCCACATAGGTTTTCTTCTCTTTATTTCTTGTAATATCTATTCTGTTATCCTGCTACTAAAAATCCTGCCTGGGGCATATTGCCTAAACCTTTTATTTCGGTAATCTCCTGTTACCTTGCCTTTAACTCTGGCTTATATTTTCCTGTCCTTTTGGCTTCTACTTCCACTCATACTTCCCGGTGACATAGTCACTAGAGCTTTAACTCATCATATCCTTAACTGCTAAATGTGTCCGACCGAATTTACCCATGCAATTGTGGAAAGCCAAGAGTGACTTAATCTTTTTACATTTCTAGTGCCCATTATCCCTCTAAACAGTGTTAGTGTTATGTCTAATTCCCATGGCAAAATTTTTTATAGATCTATTTAAAGTAAACTAACAGAAGGATGGGACTGCGCCAATAAACAAAATAAAAAAGTCCTGGTTAAGGTATTGAAATAGAGTCCAGTGTAATAAAACTTTGGTCTTATGTTGGTCTCTGAAGTTGTAGAATTATGCGCCTTACTGATATATGGAGGAGGACGATGGATGACCTCCTGTTACCATCTTAAATAATTATTTTAAAGAACACTCACCATAAATCCCAGAGGCGGGGATCATACCGCTGCATGCCTACTATACTAGAGCTAGTATAAGCTCTATTAAACGTGAGTGTATCTATTATATTTGAATACTTTTTATCCACCTTTGGAACATACTGCACCATCACTGTTTTTCGTTTTATCTTCCCCCTGGTTGCCTGTCACTACACTGAAGATGAAGCTCACCGTATATCCTACATACCGCTGCAAGCTATTCATACCAGAGCTGGATTAAGCTCTACAAAAAGTGAGTATTATCTCTTCTTTTTCATTTGGATACCTTTCGGATCACTCTTTACCATCTCATCATCCATCGTCCTCCTCCATATATCAGTAAGGAGCATAATTCTACAACTTCAGAGACCAACATAAGACCAAAGTTTTATTACACTGGACTCTATTTCAATACCTTAACCAGGACTTTTTTTTTTTGTTTACTGGCGCACTCCCATCCTTCTGTTAGTTTACTTTTTGTATTTATCTCAAGGACACTTGAGGGAGTCCTTGTTTGGGATTGCTGCCCTTTGTATCTCTTTCTGATATACTAGCGCTGACTTCATTCTCTGTTTATAGATCTATTTAAATCTACGAACTCCACTTTACCCTGACATACATGCATATACAGAACAGTCATTAGTAGCCATTAATTAATATCTTCAGTCCATTGGAATAATGGGGTAGAGCTATAAATTAGATGGTCTTGTGAATAATAAGAGACATTAGAGGGGGGGGCAGAGCCTGAGCTTGGTGTACAGGCTCCAGGCAAAACCCAACAAAAAGAGCCTGCACTCGCATCAAAGTGCACTACCTAAGTTGGGTGAGCCCTGGTGAACCTCCTGACACCTGCCTGACAGGTTGTTGCAAATCTGGAATGGCTGCTCTCCTCTAGCTAACTTCAGCGTTGCAGCACCACTTAGCTCCAACCGCCCACCCCCTATGGTGAACCCGTCTGCCCCTGGGAGGCATCCCAGCAAAATCAGGCCCAGAGGATGAAAAAAGGCATGCAGCTTACCAACGTAAAAGAACACAAAATGGCGGATGCCACATTTTCCCCTGCTGGTTACAGCCAGAAATCAGACCTCGAAGCTAAGCTGGACACTATATTTGCAACGTTTTGGAGAAAACTGGCAGATCGAGCACATCAAGCTGCTGAGCACAAAACATGGCACCACCCTCACCACCTCTCAGCAGGCACAAGGGGTCTAAGAAGTGCAGGGCCAAAAGATTGCGGCGGACCAAGAGACGACTCAAGCCTAAACGCAAGTCCACGCGGCTGGGGCTGGATGACACTAAGCACCAGCGACTAACGACTCGCTCTAATTTCAATTACTTGCAGAGGCAAGAATTGCGCATCCAAGGAAGCGTATACCCCAAATCTTATATGGCTCAGAAATCAGCATGATGTTTCCTGACAAAGACACAGAACCAGCCCAGGCCCTTGGTGCTGACCACTTGCCTTGCACCGGACGAGTTCCAGAGCCTGAACACGGAACTCTTGTGGCCAGAAGCTGCTACCCCCGTGTGGAGTATTGGATGACTTTGAAGTTATCTCCCACCGGGACTCATGTTTGCCTTACCTGGGAGGAATCCTAGGGATTATCTACATAACACAAGTTTGCATTCAAACATGTCAATCTTTATTATTTTTCTTATGCTATGCTTATGCTTCAGTACCTGGTTATTTTAGTTTGAATTTTTAAGTTAATATTGAGACCTGTCTGTTGTTTTGGTTTATTTATCATATGACTAATCAAGCAGTCAGTCAGCCTATACAAAGTTTAGGGCGTCCGTGAAAAAGTTTAGGGCGTCCGTGAAATCCCGACTATGTTTCTTGGGGGAACAGGATGGGGTGTTAAAATATCTTGCAAGGGCTTTGCTTCTAAGCGTATGGTTTTAAGCATAAAACGGTGTAACATTATTAGCTAAGCATATATACTTCTCATGATGTATATTCAGTTTGAACTGAGTTACCCACTCCTGCATATCGACTCCCTGTTGACAAGCTTACTGTCTTATTATCTTAAATTTCTTTGAATAGCACGACATTATTATTACTATCTTAAAAACTTTTTTTTTTTATGTGCTGTAACCTTTTACCACGACAACGCTGTACCTATCTGTTTTCTAACTGCTTGCACATACTGCCATGGTAATGCAAGGCTACGATGTAAACGTATGCATGACAAAAATAAATTAACTTAAATAAAACACGGACACCGTTTATCCTGTTGGAGTATAACGTCCACAGCTTTATTAATTATTAAATATAAATAAATTAACATTTAGGGTCATTGTCACAACTGACATTATATTACTATCCCCCCGCACAATACCCCTGACAATGACCCTATCACTTGACCAATAATTCACATTCAAACAACATTTAACTTGTAACACATGGCCTACCAAAGCCCCATATCCATAAGGTTGACTGTAGACACCCCTACCCCCTAGGTTCATAGCCACTAAGAGCTTGAACCTACCAATACTCACTTCCATCTGGCCTACTCCAGCCTAGGCCTTGGCCTGTCCATTTCCAATTCCAGCCAAATTCTGACTTTACCACGCCCTGTTCCACCATAGCACATGACTTGATCCCTTAAAGACATGTGTGCCCCCCACCACCCTGAAACAGTGCCTGGCTAATCCATTCCTGAAAACCAAGATTAAGCAAGTCGCTCCCTACGTCTGACAAATGCACCCTGTCTTTCCTAAAGTATCCAGGTAACATGCCCTCCAACTCCCGGTGCCGTACTATGACGCCACCCAAACGCCGAATAAAATTGCCATAGTCCTATTGACCTTGCCCCTGACCAGCTCCAGAATGAGATAATTCTCCTGACCAGCTCCCGTTGTGGGATCAGGCCCAGGTCATTCCCAACCCCCCGTGAACCAGTACTACGTCTGGTACGGACCCCCCCGCCACTTTGCTAAACAACATGCTACTAAGGCTCTGCCAACTAAACCCCCTAAAGCCAAACCATGAAATCACCACTCTCTCCCGAAGAAAGCCCAGCTGTGTTCCACTTCTTTGAACTGTGGCCCTCTTCTGAGCCCAATAGACATACGAGTGCCCAATTATCCACACCTTCCAACCTGAAAAGAAACAAATGTTAGTGCCATGGTACTGGGCGTTCATTACTATACCGCATATACCTCTTCCCCCTTTACACCAATCTGTCAGGTCTTACGTATGATCGGAAACGTAAGGATTCCCATCTCCCTATGCGTTTGATCCTCTCATCGCCCAGACCCAACCTTCCGCCTCCGTCGCAACCCCAATACGAAACGAGTGTGTCCCGAACTGCCCGGGCTCCAAGCCCAGCTTCTTTACTCCCAGCCAGAATCCCCTCGCAAACTGAAAACGTGGCAATGCCGTGCCGTCCGCGTGCAAGAAAAAACAACCTTTCACTGCCGGGCGTATCACCAAGTACCCTGCTCCTTGCTCTACCGGGCACACCCCCAACCCCGGCAACTCAAACAATACCACAAGCAACCTTTTCCAAAGATGTCTGTCTTGGATCGGCCCAGCCTGATCTGTACTCTGTCCCCGCGTACTGCCACGTCCTCGAGCTGTAACCCACCTACTCCCACCTTTTTTGTGCTGACGCCCCAAAAAAGGCACACACAAATGCCCCTCTGAACAGGGCTACCTCGAATGGGGAGCTACAAATTTCGGGCAGTACTCCCACCAACTTTTGCAATAACTCGAAGGACACTGGTCTCCTCGTATCCACTGTCTTCTTCCCTCTCCGGAAACCCTTACCGCCTGCCGGACCAGGAAATGTTTCGTGCAATCTTCCTACCCATTGAACTTAAATAGGAAAGCCAAGTTGGACAGGTGTCTGTTAACCATGGCAGGCGATGCCTGCTTTGCAAACAAGCGTAAAAGCAACCATAATAACACATCCAACCACTGGCCCTCCGAGAAGTCACTACCAACCTGTTCAACCATATCGTCCCACACTTTCCAAACCTTCACGTATATGTGGACCATGTGCCAACGACTTCCTTATGCACTCCCCGAGCAAGCCACCCCGAGCTGCCACATCTCACCAGGGGCACTCCTGCCTCCGCGTCCATGCGTCCGGCGCAGCTTCCCGAATACGCTCCCACTGAAAACGAGACAGCGAGTCAGCCACTACATTTTTGAACCCCAGGATGTGCCTAGCCCTGAACACTATGTTGAAGGACATATAACAAAGCACTAACTGTCATAACAAGCGCACCACTAGCGGTGACGATGCGGTCAAGCTGTTAATCGCTTGCACCACTGCTATATTGTCGGAATCCAGGTGGCGTTGAGAGACAGGGGCCTGGCATGGCTCCACGAACAGCTAGGAGCAGCTGCAACCCAGGCGGAGGTACCAGCGACGCCATGACCTGCAGAACGAGAAAAGGAAAAGAACCTCGCTGACCCGTCACAAGTAACAGGTTGGTGAAGCTCTGATTAAACTGGCCACTCTTTAAGATGGCCGCTATTTAAACTGCCTTTACTCCACTCCCACGTTGTACTGCCCTAAGCCCACCCCTCAATCTTTTCCACCTGCCCACTCCTTGGCCTTGTCAAGGCCCACTCCCCTGCTTCACTGCTCCGTGGGCTCCATTCCTCAAATTCAAGACAGATCAATGTACTCAACAGGAAATGTGTGTGTGGAAAGTGAAACAAATATTGCCAAGATTGAAGCAATGTTTAGGAATATCATAAAATCTACAGTAGTACACTGATCAATCAGAACATTAAAACCACTTATAGGGGTAGTGAATACGGAGTGGGATATATTAGGCAGCAAGGGAAAAAGCAAAAAGATCATAGTTACTTTGACAAGGGCCAAATAGTGAAGGCTAGACGACTGATTAGAGCATCTCCGAAACGGCAAGTATTGTGGTATGCAATATTTAGTACCTACCAAAAGTGGTGCAAGGAGGGACAATAGGTGAACCAGTGTAAGGACCATGGACGCCCAAAGCTTATTGATGTATGTGGGGAGAGAAGGCTACTCTGTCTGGTCCGATCACACAGAGCTACCATAGTACAAATTGATGAAAGACGTAATACTGGCCATGATAGAAAGGTGTTAGAACAAACATTGCATCGCAGTTTGCTGCAAATGGGGCTGCATCACTGTAGACTGGTAAGAGGGCCCATAATGACCCCTGTTCACCACCAAGTACCTTTAATGAGGATGTGAGTGCCAGAGCTGGACCACTGAGCAATTAAAGAAAGTTGTCTGGTCTGATGAATCACATTTTTTTCCAGATCAGGTGAATGGCCAGGTGGGTGTTTGTCATTTACCTGGGGAGAAGATGGCAGCAGAATGCACTATGGGGAAAAAGGTAGGCAGGTGGAGGTCTTCAATGATCTGCTGGGAAACCTTTGGTCCAGGCATTCATATGTACCACAAGCCTCTGTGTGCCTCTGTTCTCTCCCCCAGCAGCCCTCTGTGTGTCTCTCCACAGCAGCCCTCTGTATACTTCTCCCCCAGCCCATTGTGTGCCTCTCTTCTCCCTCCCAGCAGCCCTCTTCTCCCCATCAGTCATTTGTGTTTTTCTCCCCCTAGCCCTCTGTGTGACTCTCTTACCCCCACAGCAGCCATCTGTATGCCTCTTCCCCCCAAGCCCACTATGTGCGTCTCCCTCCAGCCCTCTGCGTGCCTCCACCAGAAACCCTCTGTGTGCCTCCCCACCCCCCCAGCAGCCCTCTAAATGCCTTCTCTCCCAGCAGCTCTTTGTGTGCCTCACCTCCTCTCCCCACCCCTTGTGACAGCTCACCTCACTCCTCTTTGCTGGGGTAGAACTGCTGTTCCTGACTTTGACAGTCTGCTTGTGACTGTAAAGTGTGTATGACTGTCTGCTGTAACAATGTGTGTTTGACTATCTGCCTGTAACTGTGCATGTTACTATCTGCTTGTAAGTGTATGTGTGTGTGTAGGGTGATATACACAATAGGGTACACAACCAGTTTGCGAATTGCAAATAAAACTCCGTGATAACATCCGTGATAAATTCAGGTAATACAAAATATTAAAAACGTGGTAAAAAATTCACTGTGTGATTGTTGAAAAGCACGATTTTATTGGTTTACACTGTGAAATTTTGTGTATTTAAAAAAAAAAAAAAAAGCTCCACTAATTATCATTCACGATTCTTTTAGTGTATGTAAGAATACGCCTGTAGTGTGAAAAGCAGCTAATCAAATTCAGGTTTTTGGTGTGTGTGTATATATATGTATTTTATTCATTCCCCAAATTCTTTTTTTTTAGTTTTGTTATGAAATAAAGGTATGTTATAAGGAACATAGAGAGAA